CTGTAGGTGACAAACACCCCAGGTCTGAGCTGAGTTAGGCTGCCAGGGCAGGGAGGGGACACGGGGACACCTTTCTCCTGTGACATGCAATGGCTGAGAAAATCCTTTCTGATCTGGAGACTGACGGGGGAATAAGCATCTGCTTTGGGGTTTTACTTTCTTTTTTTTTTTTTACATTTTTCCAGGGGTGGGGGCAGTGAATCACTGACACGAATGGAAGCAAAAGTGGCTTCTCTTATAATCTGGTTTAATTTTTTTTGTGCTGTTTCTGTGAGCACGGAGATCACAGGAGTCAGGGGGACAGAGGTACAGAAAAGCCTCTACGCCCGGGTGAGTACGAGCCTTAGAGCTGCCTGGCTGTGAACCTGGGGCTGCTCATACAGCAAAGACAACGGAGTGAAACTCAAGTACTTGAAGAACTGGACTGATGTGTGAGGAGTGGAACGGGAGATCTGAAGTTGCCTCTGACCTTTCCCGTAACGTGTTCTTTCAAGAGACTTTATTTTGTAGCGCTGCATGTAGAACGCTAAGGTTGAGGCTTTACCTTGCTGTAAAGCACACTTCACGGTGATTTTATTTAATGACTCCCATGTTTCTTAATTTCTTGGATGTATTAATGGTGGTAGCTCCAAAACACCAGCCAGTCGGGACATTAAATGCTGCTGCTCACTGACCACGTTTATCTGCGGTGCCTTGAAGCGCGTTTCTCTGTTTACAGTGCTCTGCACAGAGCAGCAGAACTTGCTCAGACTGTGACGAGTGTTCACATCCCGCATCCCCCCTGGCTGAGGCAGCTTTGCTTACCTTGCTTGGCTTCTTGAAATTCCACCTCTGAGACAAGAGGGGGAATCTCTTCAGCATTTGGAAGTAACTCCTCCCGCAGCAGCTGTGAGGTGATGGAGTGACAAGAGTCCTCCCTGCAGTGCCCCCTCACCGCTCTAATTCCGTGTCCGATTCGCTCCCATCCTGGCAGACCAGGTTGAGTTATTTTTTAGGAAGTTGGAATTAATTTATGTAATTTTTAGTGACAAAACCAAGCTTTTCTGTAAGCATCATTTCTCTGAAATGGAGCTCAGAGCTAGTCCTGGCTCCGGAGTTCTCCTTGCCTTACACTCTTTATTTTTGCTTGCTCTCAGGCTGCAAAGTGCTTTTGGTTTCTTTTCCGGATCCTTGAAACTATTTTAATCCCCGAGTGTGTTGTATTCTGCACAGGGGCCGGGCTGCCTGCCCTGAAACGGGGCTGGGGAGGGTGATTTGGCTGCATGGCTGGTTAGAAGATGCATGAATAGGTGACCAGTAGCAACACTTCCATGTTCCTGTTTCCAGTCGGGTTCCTCGGGAGCAGAGCGGGCGCGATGCCCCCAACGCTCCCACTCCCAGTCAGCAGTTGACCTCTGGTGTTGGCTCCTCTCCCTGCATCCTCCTTTGGTTTGGAAATGAAATGTGTGTTCTCTGCAGGAGCATCTTCCCTTGATTCTCAGTTAATTTCTTCTGCAGTAGCAGGACACGTAGTTCCCACCGGGCGGGTGCTGCTGTTTCCTCAGGCTCCTGATCTCTGCAGTTCCCTTGTTCCTTGTGCTCAACTGATCCAATAAAATATTACCAATTTTCTTTTTTTTTTCAGGCCACTTCTATTCATTTTTAGCTCTTTATTGAAAAGAAGTTGCAGTTGGTACATGGACACTGAAAATACATAATCACGGCTTGTTCTCAAAA